ACACATATATGTGTGTGTGTGTGTATATATATATATATATTTTACATATGGCCTACTGGTGAAAAGAAACTGACTTCATGTTTTTCCAAAAATGACTTAATGACATAATGTATGATACAATACATTGCTGACAGTGCAGAGCCCACGTGGGATTCTCTCTCTCTCCTCTCTCTGCCCCTCCCCTGCTTGAGCTCTCTCTCAAAATAAACATTAAGAAAAAGAGCACCAACTGAACAGCTGTGCCTATACCACATAGGACACCATCTTAGGTTTATCCCTAACACAAGCTTTAATCTTCATTCATTTTTAAAACTACAGGTGACACATGAACAACAAGGAGATTTGCTTCTTCTAATAGGAAAACTATCAGCAAATGACCATGTTGAATACCCTTTCATAAGAAGCCATCTGTCCCTGATGAACACAGATGCAAAAATCCTCAACAAGATATTAGCCAACCAGATCCAACAATACATTAAAAAAAATATATTAAATTTTTTTTTTCAACATTTATTTATTTTTGGGACAGAGAGAGACAGAGCATGAACGGGGGAGGGGCAGAGAGAGAGGGAGACACAGAATCGGAAACAGGCTCCAGGCTCTGAGCCATCAGCCCAGAGCCCGACGCGGGGCTCGAACTCACGGACCGCGAGATCGTGACCTGGCTGAAGTCGGACGCTTAACCGACTGCGCCACCCAGGCGCCCCTAAAAAAAAAAAATATTAACCGCAACCAAGTGGGATTTATACCTGGGCAGCAGGGCTGGTTTAGTATCAGCAAAACAATCAATGTGATTAATTCACATCAATAAAAGAAAGAGCAAGAACCACATGATCCTCTCAATAGATGCAGAGAAACCATTTAACAAAATACAGTATCCTTTCTTGATAAAAACCCTCAAGAAAGAAGGGATAGAAGGAGCATACCTCGAGACCATAAAAACCGTGTATGAATAATAAGACCCACCGCTAATATCATCTATAATGGGGAAAAAGTGAGTTTTCCCCCTAAGACCAGGAACAAGACATGGATCTTCACTCTCACCACTGTTATTCAACATAGTATTGAGTGTATTAGCCTCAGCAATCAGACAACACAAAGAAATAAAAGGCATCCAAATCCGCCAGGAGGAGGTCACACTTCACTCTTCGCAGATGACCTAATACTCTATATGGAAAACCCAAAATATTCCACCAAAAAACTGCTAGAACTGATCCATGAATTTAGCAAAGTGACAGGACATAAAATCAATGCACAGAAATTGGCTGCATTCCTATACACCAACAATGAAGCAACAGAAAGAGAAATCAAGGCATTAATCCCATTTAAAATTGTACCAAAACCCATAAAATACCTAGGAATAAATCTAAGCAAAGAGGTAAAAAATCTTTACACTGAAAACTTATGAAAGAAAGCTTATGAAAGAAATTGAAGAAGACACACACAAAAAAATGCAAAAATATTCCATGCTCCTATCCAGAACACTGTTAAAATGTCAATACTACCCAAAGCAATCTACATATTCAATGCCAGTACCTATCAAAATAACACCAGCATTCTTCACAGAGCTAGAACAAATAATCCTAAGATTTGTACAAATAATCCTAAAATTTGTAAGGAACCAGAAAAGACCCCGAATAGCCAAAGCAATCTTGAAAAAGAAAACCAAAGCAGGAGGCATCACAATCTCTGACTTCAAGCTATACTACAAAGCTGTAATCATCAAGACAGTATGGTAGTGGCAAAGAACAAACGCTCAGATCAGTGGAACAGAATAGAGAACCCAGAAATGGACCCACAAACATATGGCCAACTAATCTTTGACCAAGCAGGAAAGAACATCCAATGGAATAAAGACAGTCTCTTCAGCAAGTGGTCCTGGGAAAACTGGACAGCGACATTTAGAAGAATGAACCTGGACTTTCTTACACTGTACACAAAAATAAACTCAACATGGATGAAAAACCTAAATGTAAGACAGGAAGCCATCAAAATCCTTGAGGAGAGAGCAGGTAAAAACCTCTGACCTTGGCTGCAGCAACTTCTTACTCAACATGTCTCCAGAGGCAAGGGAAATGAAAGCAAAAATGAACTACTGGGACCTCATCAAAATAAAAAAGATTCTCAACAGCAAAGGAAACAAACAGCAAAACTAAAAGGCAACCGACAGAATGGGAGAAGATATTTGCAAATGACGTATCACATAAAGGGTTAGCATCCAAAACCTATAAAGAACTTACCAAACTCAACACCCAAAAAACAAATAATCCATGAGGAAATGAGCAAAAGACATGAATAGACACTTCTCCAAAGAAGACATCCAGATGGCCAACCAACACATGAAAAAACGCTCAACATCACTCATCATCAGGTAATTACAAACCAAAACCACAATGAGATACTTCCTCACACCTGTCAGATTGGCTAACATTAACAACTCAAGCAACAACACATGTTGGTGAGGATGCGGATTAAGGATCTCTTTTTGCACTGCTGGTGGGAATGCAAGCTGGTGCAG